ATTTTTAATTGTCATTAAATATGTATTTTTAGCGGCAATTAGCACTCTTTGTATATGTCCCTAAAGCCTTTAACATTGGTTCTAATAGCACTTAACTAATGCCGGTAAATACTTTAGCACTCTTTATTAATGTCAATATTTATTGCCACTAAAAGTTATTTTTGTTGTAGTGAATACACCTAGTGAAATTCTTGAATATATAAAAGAAGAAAGTCACTCCATTCACTCGAGTATATAAAAGAAGGAAACTACTCAAAATTTGATAACCCCAAATTAAAATTGAACTTCATTTTTTGGGCACCTAGATTTTGATTCAAATATGTAATATATTATGCTCAATATTGTTCTAGTCCAGTTGAAAGCAATATTCAAATTGAATAAATTTTATAGTATTTTGACTTAGAAAGTCATAATAAGCTTGTATGGATCATGCCTTTCCTTGTTGCATGCTAAAATCACTAAATGATATAAGACCTCTGACTTTCTTAAATTAGTGCATTGTTACAAATTGGAGTAATCCTCTCTTAGCAATTTAGTTTAGGCCAGAAGTTTTGAGACTAAAAAAGACATGAGAAATCTTATGTTTTGCAATCGACCTGGCATTTCAAAATCATGTTATGCAGAGCTTTGTAGTTTAAAGCAATATTTTTTTTAAAAAAAATAATGACTTTATCAATGAGTTTGAAAATGCTACAACAGAAAGGACAATATCTTTATTAGCTTTTCTTAGTATAGTTTAATTAATACTCTTATTTATTATGTGTAAATATTAATATTTATCTCAAAAGGTATGAATACAGAGCTCAAATGGTATGAATGAAAATATAGTTTACTTGATCTGTTTTCGCCTTTTCTTTCAATCTTATGTAAGCTTTGTAACTGAAGGCGGCATTGTATGATCTACTTATACGGTTTTTACGGCATAATATCTCATTTAAAATGTAAGATTAATGTGTCTACCAATTCTAGAAATATTTATAGAGATTTAGGTACGATAATAAAATGATTAAGCTTCATATATGAAACATGTGTGTTTTTCGTGACATATCCCTATTTCTTTTCATTGATCTATTTTCTGTCCCAGCTTTAAGAAAAAATGCTTTGCAAAACGGAAGACCTCATTTGAAACTTAAGCCACCATAGGTATGTTGTATGCACATCCTCTTTCCTTCTTTCTTTCTTATCATTTTAATTGGCTTTAATTCCTCCACCTAATTCTTTCAACCATTCAAATTTAATAGTATTTGTTTTTGTTGTCTTCGCACCTTCTTTTTCGAGATTTAGTTTTACAACATATTATTTATTAATTTAAATGCATAAGGTGCATTATATGCCTCAAATTAGTTGATAACGAACACATGAAAAAGACATAATACATGTAGAAATGAAGAACATTTGCTAACAAACATGTCAAAACATATTACTTGATGAAATTTACCATAAAAAACATTTAACATGATAAAAGAAATTAATTGCTCTTCCACAAATCTCAATCTTTTATATGTTATTCTTCTTTACTCCAATAATTACAAAAAAATTACTCTCCATTTCAAAAAAATACAATCATGGATCAATGAATTAGGTGTAAGATATGAATTTTTTTT